TTACAGCAGTGTAGATAAAGCATTGAAAAGTTTATTTCTGCCATTACCTTCTCTAACTGAGTGTACTGCAACATCGGTTGGTAAAAGTAAGCACGTCATCGTCAAACTTTACGGTAAAGTTATGACTAATATATTTTGTTATGCCGACTCGTGTCTTGCTCGTGTCCGTATTTTCTCGCCCCCACTGTGCACTTTTCGTCTATTTTTTCGTTTTACAGCAATTTAAGCAGCCCGTGAACTGGAATGGCAGATAGCGCAGCTAAGACTGCACTGGAATATCTTAGAGACCCAGCCGTTATCACAGGTCTTGGAGCAGCAGCTGTCGCCTCAATGTACTACCTAGCATCACGACCCACTCCACAACCATGTCCCGTCGACCCCATGAAACAATCGTACGAGTTACCGGTGAGTAGCCTAATACCACGTGTGACCATAGGTGATACTTAAAGTGCTTTAGTTGGGATTGGTTTCGATCGGTTTGTTACAATATCATGATATGAATATGCAATTTTTTTTTGAAATTGTTCTTTGGTGACAAGATTGAATACATTGTCTTTTTGGCCGTGAAGCCAATAAGTTTATTTTTTTCTGGACTTTACTCTTCAAGCTGAGAAAATACATGAAGAACACGCGGAAACCAGTCTCAAGAATGATGTAAATGCCCATATATGGAGTAACTTTTACATATCTACAGTTGGAAAGACTCCAATTCTTTGTGCAACACACCCCCTCATTTAAGTAGGAGGTTTTTTTTTACCCCAGAGCTCATATTGTGCATCAATATTCTTTATAAGGTTGAAAGGTTCCATTTTAATCTTATTTATGATTTTAGGCATATTATATGATGGAGGAGTCTTCAGTCGTTCAAATGCCAATAAACCCACACTGTCATTTTATACTTTTTGATCAATTTAGCCTGCATAGCAAGCATTTCTGTGCGATTTTGTTGAGAAAGTTGGGACGAGAGCATAAAAGAGAAGAAGGTGGAGGGGAGAGAAAGAAACCCTTGCCTGCAAACCTCACGATTTTAAAAAACTGCTTTCTCCCATGAGTGCAGCTTCTGATTTGTGCTTTGATGGTAGTGTTGATTGAATAGAAATCAATGCGTCAATCAAACCAGATATGTTTTGTTTGTGTGCATCGCAGATCTGGTCCAATCTGATCTCTGGTCGCAGATTAAAAATGCTTTGGACTGATATTTATTGGAATCATGTTTGTGCGAAGGTTTACCAGATCTGAGCTAAAATGAGGACTCACTAGTATCGTTGTTATTTCGCCCCTTGAAGATATTACGCTGCGAGCAGAGGTTTTGTCTTGTCTGTCACGTAGTTGGTTTGTTTACACCCTGTTTCTCATGGGGCATAAACAAACCAATTACGTGATAGACAAGACACACAAATGACTTTGTAACACTAAAAGCCATGCAAGAGGGAAACCTCTGCTCACAGGGTATCAGGGTATAATATCATTATTGGAGATCGACCAGTAGAGACTACCTGGGAAGGCCAATTCATTGGGAGTGACAGTGTGCGGATCTGACTGAAAAAAAAAAACAGACTGTTTGTTGGAGATGACATCAACATAAATAGAACATTGGTACTTGACACTAGCTAAAGCTGCCATAGACAAGTGATTTGTCAACTCTTAGAAACTAGAAGATTCTTTGTTTATTGCAAATTTTATAACGGTATGTATCGTAGAGAACTTTTTGACAGGGGCTGGATAGCAGCCGCTCTGCAAAGCTCAAAGCTGGCGGACTGAATTGTTCCAGAGAAATCTTTTCTTTGCGACATTTTGACAACTAAGGTTTCAGATGAGCTAAAGCCACATAATGTTCCAAATTTAATGTGACAATAAAAAACAACAAGAAATTCTGCAGCAATTGCTCAAAGTTTCAGCCTTCTTGTATAGTAACTAAAGCTACTTTATTATTGTTTTGTGCTATCGCGTGAAGTGTGTTTTGAAGAGAAAAATGTAAATTCAAAAAATCTGGCTAACTGTTCTGTTTGTTATTCATGTTGTACTGGTTGCTATGTTGATGAGCTGTCAATTTACAAATGAACTGAACCGTCAAATTTCAAGGGTTTTTTTTCAAAATTGTGGGGTTTGTGGGAAAGCGTTTCCCCTTCCCCCCTCCCCCTTCCATTTTTTATTTTATTTTATGACCTCTTATAAAAATATTTTTACAACAGTGCAATTAAACATGAAATTCATTGGAATTTACATATGTATTGTATCAGGCCCTTAAATTGTAATTAATAAATGCATTACATTAATTAATAATAGCCTTCGTCTCAGACACTCTAAACCTTCGGTATAGAGCTTCTGCAAATTAATGCACAATATCATGTTTGAATCCCGCAGAGTTGCAAGGATATATGTGAGCATTTTTAATTGGCTAGTTTCTTACGCAGTTTGTGATTAGTCTGATTTAAAATTAAGTATTGACAGGCCAAACACAACTCATAGCTCGTGACAAGAGAGAATGACCTCGTCATAGTGTGAACCGTGACCGTTGAGTCAGCTTGAAATGCATTTAAATAAAGTAATATAATAAGAATCAAGGAAATGATCATCAAACAAAGTAAAAAATAATAGTGTGCTGAATTTTTTTCCCAGTGTCCTAATTTATGAAGACAATACTTAGTTAAATTGTAAGATGATAATTATCCCATCTTAGCATAGTGCTTATCCTAGTTCAAGCTGAAATTCCAATTTTTTTCAAGCCCATTGCTTTAAATAGACATGTTTCAAAACTGTTGTAGAAAATTCATGTCTGGCACCAACGAGACCCTGTTGGGGTCTGACAAGTGATCTGGCCTTGAAACAGCAACACAAGACAGCTGCAATAGTGACAAACGGCTCTAAGATGGGTTCAATAATAGTAAATACTGACAGCGACATGCCTTCCTCCTGAGGATGCAAAACAATGGGCTTTGAAATCCAGACTAAGGACATACAATCTATGCCAATGCCCCTTCCCCCCCCCCCCCCACTTAAGGGGGCCTCTCCAAAAAGATTCAAGGGGGGTTAAAAAGAGAAAATTAATTATAGGAATAGGGTTTGAATAGTTTTCTTTTTTTTTGTTTTGTTTTAATTTTTTTTTTTAGAGATAGGAAGGGCAACCTTCTGAACCCCCGTAAAACCACGACCCATTATCCGGTCTCCTTCTTGAAAAAAAAAAATAATCAAACGTAAAAAGACATAACGAGACCCTGTTGGGGTCTGAAAAGGGATCCGGCCCTGAAAAACCAAACCAAAACAGCGGCAAAAGTGACAAACGGCTTTAAGATGGGTTCAAAAAAAGTAAAAACTGAACGCGAAATGCCCTCCCCCTGGGGAAGCAAAAAAATGGGCTTTTAAAACCCAACTAAGGACATACAATCTATGCCAAAGCCCCCTCCCCCCCCCCCCCCTACTTAAGAGGGCCTCTCCAAAAGATGTCAAGGAGAGTTACATAGAGAAAATTACTACTGAGCATAGGGTTTGAATAGTCTTCTTATATTATGTTGTGTTATAATTATTTCCTTCAGTTTGGGAGCCTGGAAATTATTGTTTTAAAGGTGGCCTTTTTAATATGAAAGTTTCCGGTTTGTTGTAGACATCTAAATTGTATTTGCAGGATGGTGATTATGCCAGAATGAATTCTCTGACGACAGAACTGGTTGAAAGGCTGTTTGATGATGTGACCACAAGCCATGAAGCCTTTCTACGTGGAGTTAGGATATCAGGTAATAATAGTAATAATAATAATAATAATAATAATCAGGGTGGCCATTAGGCATCGGAGATTGGAGAATTCTCCATTTACTGCACAGAATTCTCCAACTAATGTTCGGTAGTTTACGACTATTTTTTATTCAGATGTGGAGCCTCTTTCAAAATATTCTCCGGTAACGTTACACCTTTTTCCTACTACTGGGATTCTTAATGAAAATGCTGAATAATCCAGTTATTTACCCTTGGCAGTATTTATAGCACTAATGCTAGTGCGGCTGAGCAAGTGCCTGAAACAAATAATCGAAATTGAACTTAATAACAGGGTTAAGAATCCCAACTGGCCAGCTGGCTATTTACAAGCGTGGCTGAGGATATGAACTCGG